CCCCCCCCCCATCTCCATCATCATATAATTTTTGGCTCAGGGTGAGAAACTCCATCAGATTCATTTCAGATGCCTGAATCTTCTTAAGAGGGTTCTGCTGGGAATGGGATTAGACTGGCAGACAGGTGGATTTGTTAGTGCTGCTAACAACCTCTGGCATGTGCAGAATGTAGTGTTTAGGGGCCATTCTTCTCAGCTTGAGAGAAGAAAATTTACCTAAACTTGTTATATTTGATCAAGTGGCCTTTAGAGGATCCTCCAGATCAAAGGTATAGAAAACTCATCAATTCTGTCTGTAAACCAGGTATACCCAAGGGTGTGCCCTATTCTCAACTGAATGGGATGGGTAGGCAGGAGGGGGTGTTGTGAGAGGGATGCCAGGATTTCAAGCAGATCCCTCTTTCCTCCATAGAGTTAACTCAAGCCCAAGTTCTTAACTATATACAAGTTATAAATATACATAAACATACATTTACAGTGAACACTAACCACTAACCAAGGTCAAACACTAAATAACTATTTACATCACAATATAACAACATTTAAATTACAAAATGTAAGGCACAAACATGAATAATCTTAATATCATCTGTTCCTTAATATAGTCCCTGACCCATGGCAAGAGATAGTTCTCCTTCCAATGGGGTCCCTTGGGGGGTGTCTAGGAAGCACCAGGGCCCCTTCCCTTAGGGCCTTGACTAGGTGGGGGCTGCTCACCCAGCCCTTTCTCTGGGTTTGCCTGCCCCAAATGTCTTTCCCGTGTGGGACCCAGGGGCCCAATGACTCAAGCTCCCTCAGGTGGTGGTGGTCAGAGCTCAGCTCGATGGGGTCTCCTCTGCTGGAGTGCCCCTCCAGGCCCCTCCCATGCTGCTGGGTTCCTCCCCACCCTGTGCTCTACTCTGGGCACCAAGGGCTCAGCTCCTCTCAGCTGCTGCACCACTGCTGCTGGCTCCTGGGTGCTGGGCCTCATGCTGCAGCACTACTATTTCCCCGTGCTCTGGCTTGGCACTGAGGGCTCTTTTGGCACAGGCCAGGTCCTTCAGGCTCCAGCTGGCTGGCCTCATGCTGGGTGGTTAACACAAGCAGCCTCTGTTGCTCCCTAAGCTTGGGCCCGTGCACTGCCCTGCACATGGTTGGACCTGTCCGCTTGCCGGGAGATGGGGCCTAAGCTACCTCACTGCAGCCCCAAGGCCTTTGCCCCATGCACTGCCCCACACACTGCGTGGCCTGCTGGGGTTGCAGGCTTGAGCCACTGTTTCCAGCTCCCAAAGCCTGGGCTCCATGCACCAAACCACACACCGTGATGGGCCCGAGCAGTCTCACACTGCTCCCAGAGCCACATCTCCGTGCACTATTCCTGTGTGTCATTAACAGCCTGAGCTGTCTTGCACCACCCCCAAGGCTGCTCCTCCAGTGGCAGCTTCAGGAGCCGCCATTGCCTGCTGGAGAGCTCCCCAGCTTTTCTTGGCTCCACTCTTCTTGAGTCCTTTGCCACATCTCCTCTTGTGCTGGGCACACAGCTCCTTTTATATACTCCAGGGCTCTGCCCCTGAAGTCTTCTGGACCTGACAGTTTACGGTCTTCAATCAGGTCCAGGGGAGCTCTTCTCCCCCTCCCCTCAGGAAAGGGATGTGACTATTTCTCCTGCTGCTTTCTGATTGGTGCATAGGCTCCACTAATCAAAACAGCAGGATCCCAAGCCTGGGACTCAATCCAAGCTCTGAAAGGTGAGCCTGCTACATGTCTAACTCAACTTCTGCTCCCTCCCAGAACTGGAAGTTTCTATACAATAGAAAGGACTCTTTTTCAGAGCCTGAAAGGAGCTGAGTGCATCTCTGCAAGCTGATGCTTTGGGACGCTAACAAAACTCATCATCTGGCAAGTCTGGACTGTGAAAACTTGATCCAGAGCAATTGTACAAGAAGCTGAAGTGAGCTTGAGGGTAGTCTGCAATCAGATCCAACCAACATGATCCTGAAGGCCACGGAGTTCCTGTAATGCCAATGGCTTTCTGTGCCAGTGCACACACAGCTCCAACTGCACTGATCCAGTCAAAGAATGGAGGTCTAGTTTTGTTATCAGATGCACATGAACAAAAGTCATTGAAGGATTGGGGCTGTAGGCTTTAAACTCTGAGGAAGAGACTCTGTCATATTTTGTTAGTCAAATCCTACTCATCTCATTGATGAAAGTAGTCCGGTTAACGTGAGTAGTATTGTTTATATTGTTAATTATATTAATATATTTGCATAAGATGAATATGACTGGGTCCTCAGTGGCAGTGTCAGGGGACAACTGGGACATGGGCTGTTGGAACTTGACCCAACAGGGACACAATCTAGGGGATCAGCAGCAGACAAGATCCAGACTAGAGTCTGGAGTCAGGGGATTAGGAGGAGGCAGGTCTGTAAGGGATGAAATCAAAAGAGATCTAGACTGAAGTCACTGGCTGGGGTTCTGGAGAAGGCAACTATAGCTGTAAGGGACTGAGACATGGACAGTCACCAATCTAAAGACAGGAGTGGATTTCAGAAGACAGGCATCTGGACTGGAGTCAGGAACAAGGGGAAGGGGCCAGCAAATCTAGAGCAAAGAGGGCCAAGCTGGAGTTTAGAACAAGGAGTCAGCAAGCAGGAGCAATGAGTCAGAAATGCAAGGCCAGAAAGAGAAACTTCTTTGTCTCACTCTTCACAAAAAAATTAAAGCTACCAGGCACATAATAGGGTTTATCTGGATAAGGAAGAAGGCAAGCTGAGGGAGGAGATAAAAAAAAAAAGAGAGACAATCATAGAACTTTTGTTGGGTCTGAATGAATTCATGGGGATCAGAGAACTGGAAGAGTAGTACCAACGTAGTACCCCTCTTTAAAAAAAGCGAGGGTGACCCAGGGAACGACAGACCTGTTAGCAGTAACCTCCCAGCTATTGAGGTGAAGCTGTGTACCTTAAGGAAAGCCATTTGCAAGTTTCTGAAGGAGGAAAGGCTGATTATAGGCAGCCAGCATAGACTTATGAAAAATAAGCCTTGTAAAAAAACTTGATCTCTTTCTTTGACTAACTACTTGGATGGATGAAGCAAATGCTGTGGACATAGTGTATCTGGGCTTTAGCAAGGCTTTTGACAAGGTCCCATAAGAACTTCTCATAAGCAAGTTGGAGAAGTATGGACTAAATTAAATTACTACTTACTTGTGCTCCACCTGCTTGTGCTTCTCGCACCTCTTGCGCTTCTCGCGCCCACACCCGTGCTTCTCACACCGCGCCTCTCGCACTGTTGCCCACTGGGCCTCTTCCCTGTGCCCACATAGCCCACATCAGGGTCTCTTCCCCATGCGGGCATAGCCTGCACCAGGCTCCTACCCGCACTTCTCGCACCCACTACAGCACCTTCCCTGGCACTTGGAGCAACCCCACCTTACTGGGGGGCTCCCACTGAGGCCTCCTCCACCCCTACAGCCTCACCCAAACCTCCAGTGTAACACCGCACTTCTCACGCCACAACAACTAAAACCAAAAGCACAAAACCCCGGGGCTATAACATAAATTCCTAGCCAACCTGGCTTGCTTCCATGTATCTCCCCATCAGGGTTTTCTCAAGCTCCATCTTCCTTGGTGGCCAGAGGGGGACTGAGCTCTGGCCTTGGCCTATGTTGTTTATAAAGGCCAGGCCCTACCCCCTTCTGGTCAGCTGACCAGACCGGTTGTCATGGCAACCCCGCACCTGTGCTGCCCTGGTGATTGGCAGCTGAGCTCGTAACACTGCCTCCAGTAGCAGGCACCTTAGTGCCCTGCTACAGGGGGACACTTGGCTGGATGGCAGCATTATGGAAAAGGACTTGGAAGTCTTGGTAGACCACAGCCTCATTATAGGTCTACAGTATGATGCAGCCATACAAAAAGTATGGGCTGCATCAATAGAAGCAATTAGGTGCAAGGCATGGGAGGCACAGGTTAGGCCTCTCTACTCAGCACTGACTAGGCTTCATCTAGAGTACTATGTGCAGTTCTGGGCTCCACATTTGAAAAAGAACATGGAGAAGTTAGAGAGGGTCCACAGATGGGCAACAAAATGATCAAGGGCTTGGAAGACAAGCCATACAAGGATAGGCATATTCAGCTTCCAGAAAAGTCACTTAAGAGGGGACATGATAGCAGTCTTCAAATACTTGAAGGGCTGCCATAAAGAAGAAAAGCACCTTTTCTCTCTTGCTGCAAAGAGGAGGACTCAAACCAAAGAGGAGGCTCTTGGCTTGAAGTTAGAGCAAAGTAAATTTAAATTGGATAACTGGAAAAACTTCTTCACTTTTAGACAATGAGGCAGTGGAATAGACTGACTAGGGAAGTTGTGGACTGTCCATCACTGGAGGTGTTCAAGAAGAGGTTGAACAGCCATTTGTCAGGGGTGTTCTAAGCATTGCATTTTTTACCATGGGT